GCAAGTATATACAAGTATATAGATCCTAGTTTAACATACAAATCTATTTCACAATTTTTTTAAATATTTAAATAAAATTTATGGAAAATGTAATAATCCATGTTATAGATTTTAACTTAAAATGAATCTGACTTATTTTATAGTAAGAAAATAAATAAAAATTAAATAATTTTAATATTTAACCATGTGTATTGCATGTGCACAAAAACTAGTATATATATATATATATATAGGATATACTTGGATGAAATAAGACTGGATAAACCAAAAGTTATTTTGGAAATAGCCGGCTTCAAACTGTAAGCCATTCTTCTTTTTATATTATGTCTTTAATTTATTCATGTCTTTACAATGGTATCAGAGCCATATATTGGCTAAGTTTTTCTTACGGATATGATTATATAGGTTTGATTAAGTAGGAATTTATAATTAAAATATATTCTTTATTCTTTTTTATTGATAATATAAAAGGCATGATAGTGTGACGTCACCCAAGTCGCGTAGTGTAATGTTTCCCGTTGAAGCCGTGATGGAGTGTAGGGTAGTGTAAATCGTTGACAGACGTGCTATTATAAGTTTTGTTTTATTTTTAAAAAGGAAAAAAGAAGAATTTCATTTACAAATCCTTACTTGTTAGCATTTATATAATTTAATCCATAAGAAACTCTATATGTCAGAGTTAATCTCTGCCACGTCTTCAAAAAAGACTCGTAATACGAGCAAAAAGATTAAAAATACTCAGTTAACAAAATATCCTTCTGAGCTAGAATCACTTAATAAGTGGTCTATTCCTGATGTCTTCGATAGAGACATCTATAAAATTGGGTTCTTTGATTATAAGTCATTAATAGCCATTAAAACTTTAGAAAGAACCACAACTGTAGATCAGAATGAGCAGACTATTTTTTTGCTTAGTTCTGAAGATATTGAACCTTATATGAAAAATACAAGTACATCCATATTAGATTAGTTCAAGTAGATTTTAGGCCCTTAATTAACTTTACAAGGATTTAATGCGTCTTTATTAACTTGTTTACGTGATGCAAGATGCCTAAACTGGGCACAATATTTAATGGGCATCATGGAAACCAGTTTATGTAATGGACCATACTTTAATGTATACCCAAACTTGAGTTTATCTCTATGTGATCCTAACATATTAGAAGCTATGAGCCTTAATATTAAAACTCATAGATATGAATTTTTACCTGGACCAGAAACAATTGCGATTATATACCGCATACATTATAAAGCTTTAATTACTTTAGCACCTAAAGTTAAAGTACATACAAAGCCTGAAAAACAGTCTTAATAGAGACTAATTTACTTTCATTCAATATTGTTGTAAATAGGCAAATTTAATGGACAGAAGTAAACTTTCTAGATAGATGGGTTCTACCCGAAGCTATACAACCTCAGCCAATAGTAAATCAAGAAATTGGTCAAATTCTTCAAACGACTGGTGGTGAAGTTGAAGTAATCTTCAACCCATCGAGGACAATTAAATTGTTTGATGTTACAACTAGGGCTGAGCATGGTTCGATCCAAACCAAAAAAAATGACCGAACCGACCCGAACCGACCAGAAAAAATCGATTTTATGAGTAGGGCGGTTCGGGTCGATTTGAAAACTTTTTAACCCGAACCGACCTGAACCAACCGAATATAGTGCAATACTACCCATTTTGATCTCAAACCCTACACGACCCGTCCCCAAAGAGTCAAAGACTCAAATCCTAAACTCATTTTCTGAATCATTATGGGTTGAAAGCAATATTATTATATCAGTGTTTAATGCTTCATAATCTCCTACTTTGTTGATATCTTTTTTTCTTTAATACAGTTTGTTGTTTGATAAGAAGTTTGATGAAGTTAGAACCGAACAAACCGAACCGCACCGAACCGACTTAGAACAGTTCGGTTCGGTTTTGAATTATAGGTGGTTCGGTTCGATTGTTCAAATTTTGATAAAAACCGAACCGAACCGACCGTTGCACACCCCTAGTTACAAATTCATCTAGAAGATCTATTTCTAGATCTGATTCTTATAGAATCAGTGATGTAAAGAGGATTAATGTATCCCAAAATAATATACCTCGTTTGATATATAAAGAGAAAGAAAAACTTTCTCCTACAAGCTCTGAAATGAGATTTCAAACGTAATAAGGCTGCGTTTGGGAACTAAGATTTAGGTTTAAAATATTGATTTAAAATCAAAGGATTTAAAATCTAGAATTTGAAATTTATGATTTGATAGAATCTTTTGTTTGGATGTCTTTACAAAATGCAAGGATTTGAAATCAAAGATTTGAAGTATAGTGTTCGGATACACTTTATTATACATGAACTTGGATTTCAGAGATAAGGAGGACCATTCTGTGAACAATTTGTGACATATACACATAGTTAACTTGAAAATTCCGTCTAGGTTGCTCTTTTTCCCGCAAAAAAATCTTTTAAAACACGATTCCCTGTACATTACATTACATTCACGATACACATAAATACATGATTCATGTATATTTAATATACACATCCAATCCAATATAATCAATACCCATATCCAACACACACATCCAACAATCCAATCTAAAATACACATCCAACAATCCAGTCTAATATACACATTCAACAATCTATACCAATATCCATTTCAGTAAAAATTTATATTATCAATATTTACAATATATACACTAACAATATCAAGTCCATCCATAACATGATATGAATAACTGAGGTTGGTGTGTTCCGTTGAAATTAAGGACAACACACCCTATCAGAGTCAGTAACTAGCAGAGACTAAAAAGAAAAGGGTAAAATGATACATTCTAATACATGTTACAAGTGGTAGGGTAAGATGTTCGTCTCATGGCCAGTCCCAACAGGTAAGGGCAGCGATGTTGCTCCTCCAGGCGATGGAATATGAGACTGCTTCAGGGTGGAGGAATTCCTTAGAGGCTATGCCTTCAGGAAAAACCATCAACACCCATAAGCTGAGGAGGAAAAAACCTCCTCCGTCACCACAAATATTACGAGTTAACAAAGAATCAACAAGGAAGAACCAAAAGGACAAAAGCAACATCCCACAAAGAATAACAAATGGGTGAGTTGCAATTTACAAGTCCAAAGAGGTACCAATGGTAGTAATGTTAGTGTAGTTGGAAGGTGTAGGATATTATTTAAAACACATTCTATATGCTTCCAGAGGCACTTGTAGACACCCATAAAAATTAAACTTCAATCAACCAAATATAGAAAGTGAAATTACAAAGCATCAATTAGAAGCATCAAGACAATACCATTATGTTCAGAATCACAAGAAGGTGATTTGTGATAATATATCTACAACTTATTTTTGCATAGGTATCTAATGCAACCATTGTTGACCTTAAATTTTCATATTCTCACTGCCTGTCCCAAGCTAATATAAACGAGGTTTGTGTTGTTGGTTAGCCGGCAGCCAACATAAAACCTAGTAAAAACTACGTGAAATGAATCCTACATCGTTCTAATTCAATCATTATGTTCAAAACAACTTCTACTCGCATCGAATTGATTTCTTTGTATCCACAATAATCATCAAGCACACATTCAACAAACTATATTATCTGATGCTAATGTTTGTAGGGAAAATTGCAAAGAAGAGAATAAAGAAAATTGACTTTTATTCCTTTGATTCCGATTACAATTTGATTACAAAAGAGAGGAGAACGAAATCGGTTCTTCCTCTTTGTTTAAAACTGGGTTCTTCACGGTGGCGATGGAGTGCCTCCCTCGAATGCTCGCGTCGAGTTTGCTCTCCGTTGACGATCCGCACGTCTTGATTCACTGGAACGATATCTTCTCCTCACGATTTGACGTTGTGGAGAACTTGCGTGGCAAGTTTGAGAACTCAGAACGAGTTTAGAAGAACTCTGTAAAAGAGTTGATTTGAACCGAAGATCGGTTAATAAGCCAAGGCTAGAGGAAAGCTTGGTGGTCGATCTTAGCTGAGGATGAACGTCGATCTCCTCTTGCTGCCAATTCTCAGATCCGAAAAATCCAGCCTTCAATGGTCGATTCAAGCCAATCAAAATCGAACCGAACAGAAGCCCCCGAACTGAATTGATCTTCAGTTATTTATAGAGGATTAAGGGGGTGAAACCGCCCCCTTAAATCTCTCCTAAGTGGGATGTAACCGCCCCCAAATCGTGGGAAACGGTTTTAGAACCGTTCGACTCATGTTGAATGAGTCAAACACCCACGTTGGCGTTCAGGACCCTAACCTCACGTCTTAGGATTGAGACGCGAGGTTGGGTGTTGGCTGAACATTGATGAACGCGAGGGTCGCTCGCGTTTTGGTTTGTTGTAGCTTAGAAACGCGGGGGTCGGTGTTGGCTGGACCCCTACGAACGCGAGGGTCGCTCACGTTTCGCCTGTTGTAACGCGGGGTTCGACCTTGGCGTTTTGATGTTGAAACGCGGGGTTCGACTGCGGGGTTTTGATGTTGAAACGCGGGGTTCGACACTGGCGTTTTAATGTTGTGACGCGGGGTTCGACCTTGGCGTTTTGATGTTGAAACGCGGGGTTCGACCGCGGGGTTCGACCTTGGCGTTTTGATGTTGAAACGCGGGGAGGACCTTGGCGTTTTGATGTTGAAACGCGGGGTTCGACCCTGGCGTTTTGATGTTGAAACACGGGGAGGACCTCCGCGTCTTGCCTTGCAGAGATTATCACCAAGTAATCTCTTTTGTCATGGCGTTGCAAAGATCATTGTCTTGTAATCTTCATCTTGGCTCCTTGAGAATATGAGAGTCGTCAGATTGTAACTCCCGATGTTGATTGTGAGGGCTGTTGAAGTAGAGCTTCCATCATTTGTCGTGAAGGTCGTCAGATTGTAACCTTCAGCAATCTACGCGAAGGTCTTCAGATTATAGCCTTCTGGAAGTCGTCAGATTGTAACTTCCATCATCGGTGGTTGATGGGGGATAAGCTATCTGTTGTGATTTTTAGACAGCCTACAATACCTTCAATGTACATGTAGACACTATCCTTTCGGCTAAAAGGCTTGCGCTGCCTCATAATGATGGCAAACATCACCTTCTTTCTCAAATCAGGCTTTCCTTTCTTCACTTTGGCCATCACCATGTCGCCGACACAAGCCGACAGCAGCCTATTCAATCGCCCCTTGATACCCTTCACCGAGATGATGTACAGGTTCTTCGCTCCAGTGTTATCGGCACAGTTCACGGTGGCAGCCACCGAAAGACTCAGCGACATCCTAAACTTGTTCCTGGCCGATCCTCGCCCTAATTAATCAATTCGGTTTCAACTACTATTGAAATCGCTAACTATACAACAATCTACGATGAAAAGGGGTTTCTTTGAAATAAGATAACTGTAAAAGCAAATTATTTTATCCCTGAAAATGAGAATTTGAGGTGGAATCAAGAAGGTACATACTTAAGACCTGATTAATCGCATAATCTCTAATAAATTGGAGTAATTTCCATAAAGCAAATGACTGCTGATCAATCGAGTTAAGGGTTAGAGCTCAGCATACCTTGTGATCGGACTCCGAAGTGAACGCGGTGACGAGGAAGAGGGAGCAAGCGACGAGGGGGAGAGATCGTACGGTCGGAATCATCGGGCCGTCGGATCTAGGGTTTCAACGAGAGAGGAGAAAGGGGGAGACCTAAACCCTAGATCAGATCAAGGGTTTCGACGAGAGAGGAGAAGGGGAGAGAGGAGAGAGAGAGGCGTTGAGAGAGAACTTAAGAGTGGATCGGGGATCGGGACTGAGAAATAAGAGAGGAGGAGTCAGGATCGGGATTTGGTAAATATCAAGGAGCAGGGTGGGATTTGAAATATCTTTATCTGGGCTTTCAAATTCTCCTCTTTCAAATAATTTGATTTGAAATCTCAGCCCAATTGAAAGTCCAAACTAGAGATTTGGATTTGAAATACCCTAGATTTTAAATCCAGGGCCCAAATCCAAGTTCCCAAACGCAGCCTAATAGTTTTTATGGATTTTTCAACGAATAGTGAATTAGAATTCCAATGTAAAAGTCACAAATCATTTTAGAGAATGATTTTTTAAAAGTTTCTCTAATAAAGTCACAAATCATTTTAGAGAATGATTTTTTAAAAGTTTCTCTAATAAAGAGCAACAAATATTTAAATCAAGTTATTATAAAACACTTGATAAAAACCAAAAGATAGAATTCTTCGTTCATTGGTTCTTGAATTATTATATTCAAAAGGAAGAAAAGATAATTGGAGTACTTGAAGAACATTATAAACAGTGGAAATCAAGTACTGGTATATCAATTAAATCTTTTTATCCTCCTACAGAACCATTAAGGCTTATTGGAGTTTCAACTTCCACTTTAGAAGCAACACCCTTTGTAAAGATTACTGAATCTAGTGATGAAACTTTAAAATAACTTAATAAGTTAATTAAATAGAGTAATTACTCAAACTTACATTTTTCAGGTAGTTGGTCAACAACATACTAGAGTCAAAGATGTTATTGATAGACTTGTTCAAAAATTGAACAATATCATTCCTTCTCTAATAACTTTAGAAAATGGTAAAAGTCCTATTATACATAAGGAGAAAGCCACGATTAAGCCACCTCTAGATATATCTGGATTTAAAACTGGTGATAAAATAACTTCTGGTTTATCCAGTCTTATTTCATCCAAGTATACTCTTACTACAAGCTTAGGACGGGTAAAGAACATAATACTAATACAAGTACCACAATAATATAAGTATAACATAAATAATATTATACCCAGTACCTCTAATTAAGATCACTAAATCACAATAAAATAATACAAATAATATAAATCCAACTATAGAAATACATATAATCCATGTGTGATGAATGTGTGTGGTGTTGTTTGTGTGTGTAGTGTGTGTGTGTGTGTGTGTGTGTAGTGAGTGCGCAGCAGCGCCCCACTGAATACCAAAAACGCATGAATCTTTATGGTGTTTGGTAGTGAGGTGTCTATTCCCATCCACATCTATAATTTAAATTCCCAACTCATGTGAATGTAGGTCCCGATTAATCATGAGTGAATATGAGGAATATTCTACATTTACTAAACCAGCACTACTCATTCCTCTCTCTAATCTCTCAGATCCACGTCGGTCTCCCTCCTCATCAACTTCTATATCATATAAATATAAAAGTATACACCTATACTATATCATATACAATACATATATATACATACATATATAACAGACATATAATATACTAAATAAATAAAATATCAAACCTCAACTAACTAATATATAATATATACTAAATACACTGATCCCCATATAATACAGTAAAATACTAAACATAAACATAATAAATAATAGCCATAATATATGTATACGGAGAAGAGAGACGAGAGAAGGAAGAGAGAAGAAGAAAGAAGAGAGAAAAGTATAAGCATATATGGTCATAAACGTCATAGAAGTGATGCTTTGGTAGGAGGTGGCATAATCCACTCCTCTCATATACAGATGAGTTGGCATATGCCTTAATGCAAATTTCTCCCCAACACATATGGAAATCGTCAAGCCCATATTGAATGCAGTAGTAAAAGGCGGATTGTGTCATCTCAACTATTCAAAACTGCCAAAACTAATTATTGCATAGAACCCACAAAACACTACCCATATGTCTCTCAATTACCTATCATCTACTACGCAACATACCTAAATGACCTCCTATACAATCATACCTATAATAATCTAGAATACACCATCATATACAATGAACACGATACCACATACACACCCATACTACTCCACCTATATACCGAGTACTCTATAAACACAAGTAACATTACATCCACATACCTCATATCGATCACTTCACACTACTATAATTCAATTTTACACCTACATACCTAACCCCTTAATATACTACATAATCCTCCTTAATAATATAACGTACTATATATCAACCATAGTATATATATATACCCATATAACCAGACAAAGCCTAACTAATATATATATATAATCACATAAATAACCTGCCAGTAATCAACCATATATATCTGATACCCACTAAAACACCGCCTATACACTCCCACTAATATACACCACCCTATAATAATACTACCATAGTATATAATATATACCTATAATATATTATATATATGCATTAGATGTGTATCCTTGTTCATAGAAGGGGATTTCTCCTTGACGCCTATGTGGCACATCCCACTATCCACCATAAAGTGGGAGAGAGAGTGTGAGTTGGTGGGGGAATTTGGCCTATTTTTATGGGGAGGGGTGGTGGGGATTGTGGCCACATATGATCGACAAGGAGGAAAATCCCTCCTATGAATGGATACCAATTAAATAACTCTCCCTGCCCTGCTCCTCTCTCAATCTCGATATACATAATAAAGATATCACTTATATAACTACTATATAGTATATATATACATCACTATACATACTACTTATTTAGAATAAATAATACCAAAATATATAATAAAACATAATATAATATATAAGACTAATAGATACCTCACATAAATAACTAATATATACTCTCACATATAATAATAAATAAAATACTACAATAATTATAAAAGAGAGAGAGAGAGAGAGAGAGAGTAAAGCTCCTATAACTTAAGATGAGATGATGAGCCCTTTGTCCATCAACATTATTTTATCCATAATGGATTTTGCATTGAAACTATATGGCTAGCATATGAATACAAATATAATATATAACATATATATAACCATACTACACTAATAATATATAAATAAGCCAATCAATAACATCTTAATATATATACATATTAACATGATACTACACCACCATAATATCACATATTACTATATATATCATAATATAAGATACACAACTATATAATACACAACTTACGTAAAATTCTTTTAAACCACATATTTTATTTATAAATATAAAATGAATAAGTTTTTTAATCCAATTTTCTATAATTACGTATTATACAATATTACATCCTGTTAACAAAACTGAAGCGTTTTCTTAGAAAATAGTCCCATAAAGTTTTTCATATTTTAAATTAGTCCTTCAAATCATTCCAATTGTATCAGATCCCTCAAATCTTATGCTATTATAAATGAGTCCCTTAGATTATTGAAATTGATATTAGGTCCTCCAATTCATAGATTATTTTTGAAATTAATCCCTAGATAAGGCATGGAGGTAGCAATTAGGGAGAAATTAATTCCAAAAATCATTGAAATCGCTATCAGGTTCTCAAATTCTTTTAAGGCATTTCAAACTAATCCTTCTAACTGCTACTTTCACACTTGATTAGTGGGCCTAATTTCAGAGCTACTCAAGAATAAGGAGGTGTAATAGCAATTTTCGTGATTTGGGTGACTAATTTCAAATTATCTCAAGACTTGAGGGACCTGATAGCAATTTCAGTGATTTAAGGGATTAGCTTCCCAATGTTGAAGATTCAAGGGACAAACATTAAAAAAATCCAAAAATATCAAATTTACCTTGGTCCCCCGCTTTCTCTTCGGGCCCATCTGCCTCTAGGCCCAGCTCAACTTGGGTCCCCGCCCAACTAAAGTCCCAGCTGGACCATGGGCCGAGCTGGGCTCAGTTCTGTGAGGGAACCTGGGCTCTGGACCGGGCCACTTAGGCCTGGCCCAGGATAGGTGGCCCACCTTTGGTGACCCGGGTCGGCTAGCGGCCTAGGATTATGTGAATACCCGCTCACCAGAGGCATGGGCCACATGAGCCAACATTTGTATATGAGTGGCACTACAGGCACACTCTCCACCACACTCTCCACCACACCCCCTCTCCTGCTACAGTGCAGGGGGCCCACCTGAGATTTTTTAAAAAATCTCAGGTGGGCCCCCCTGCACTGTAGCAGGAGAGGGGGTGTGGTGGAGAGTGTGATGGAGAGTGTGTCTGTAGTGTTATTTTTTGTATATGGTGGAGTTTTGTAATTTTTCTTTTTTAGTTTGATTCTACGAGAAGCGCCGCTTGTGCTATTAGCCTCTTTACATCTAATTGGCTTGTCGAGGCACTTGAGTTCACTAGTCCTCAACTTTAGTTGAATCCTTTTACAAATCAAAACATTCACCGCAGACATCGTACGTAGTCGGAGATGCGATGTTGAAATTTATTGGGGGTTTAATGCAAGATGCTCAAAGTCTTTGGTTTTTTTTTTTTGTGTGTAATTTAGAGTTAACTTTGTTTAGAATGCTGTAAAAATATATGTGTTACAGATACTTTTGTTTAAAAATAA